TAACCATAAAAAGTTTCTTTGGTTGGGAAAGACTGTTCTAAATTCAATTATCATTGCCATTTGTGACAACATAATGGAGCCTTGAAGGAATTATGATAAATGAAATGAATCAGACAGAGAAAGAAAAATACTTTACCATATGGATCTCACTTAAATGTGTATAGTAAAAAAATGAACTAACTAATAGAGAAAAAAGACTGGTAGGATGCAAAGGCAAGAAGTGTGGGATAGACAAATTGGGAGGAGGGAGACAAAAAGGTAAAAGCTCCGTTATAAAGTAAATAAGTCCTGAGGATGAATGTACAACATGGTGACTATAGTTCATAGTACCTTATCACCTACCATATAATCTAGCTATCCCATTCCTAGGTGTCTACCTGAAGAATAGAAAAACACTAATTCAAAGGGATGTATATCCTCCTACATTCATTGCAGCACTATTTATAATAGTACAGTTATGGAAACTACCTAAGTGCCCAAAGATAGGAGTGGATTAAGAAGATGCAGTATTTATATACAATGGAATACTACTCAGCTAAAAAAAAAAAAAAAAACAAAATTGGCATCTTGTCATTTGTGACAATATGGATGGAACAAAAGGGGAGTATGCTAAGTGAAATAAATCAGAAGAAAGACAAATATCAGATGAATTCACTCATATGTGAAGTATTAAAGAAATAAAAGAAAGCAACAGACAAAACCAAACCAAAACAAATTCTAGACATCTGACTATAGAATTGAGGTTACTAGATGGGGAGGTTAACAGCAGGGAGCAAAGAATGTAGGTGGCCCAATGGACTATGGCATTGGTGGTGGGTATAGTGTGATGATAAACATTTGAAGAGGAGTGAACCAATAGTTCTAAATTATATACAGTGTTCTATTATATATCCTTGCTACCTCAATAAGATAATATAATTTGAAAATAGGTATATTTGTTCCCAGTAAGTATTATAACAAAAAAATTCTAACCAAGCCTTTCTCCAAATAATAACAATAATAACAATACTGTATTGTATACTTGAAGGTTGCTAAGAGAATAACTCTTAAAATTTCTTATCACAAGGGAGAAATAAACTTTTAACTATGGATGGCTTTCAATCAGACACTGTGGAGATTATTTTTTAAATAAATAAATATTAAATCACTATATTGTACACCTAAAACTAGTTTAATGTTAAATGTCAATTATATCTCAATTATAAATAAATAGATACAATTCAACTAATACAAAGCATGGGGAGAACAAAATTAAAAAACTGAAGAGTTTGAAAATATAAACATTCTGAATGCTTGAAGAGAAGCTCATACCATAAAGGTATTTTGAAATAAAATGTCTTATTGGAAAGAAATATTAACAACATGTATAACAGAGGTTTACTTTTGCTTATATAAATTTTCTCCCAGTTAAAGGGAAAAAATCTCCAGTAGAAAGCCTACCATTGGGGCCTTGCTGGTGGTGCAAGGGGTTTAGCACTGCACTGTGGAGCAATCTACAGCCTCTACAGCACAAGTTCCATCCCCAGCCTGCCAGGGAGAAATCCACATGGCAAGGCAGACCCCTCCTGGCTCACCCACTGCTCCCTTCAGCAATGTATTTCAGTCTGCCTGCCTGTTCTGTTTCCCCACTCTGTCTCTGGTGGATCCTCTCACCCACCACATCTCTGGCCTGTACCCCAGCTCTTGTATGCATAAGTAAATAAATCTTAAAAAAAAAAAAAAGAAAATAACATGAAGCAAACAAACCAAAAAATAGCCATGTTAAATGCTCAATAACTTCTTTTAAAAATCTCAATATAATAATTAAATAGCATTAATCATTATTAAATTGATAGATTTGTAATTATGTAATCTAGTATTTATAAGAATTTGAACTTACATATTACCTTTGAGAAAGTATATTATGACATTCTAAGAAGCAATGGATACAAAAAGCATTTTTTAAAAAATTTGATAGCCTTTTACTTATTGATTCTTTGTGAGTAATATATTTTGAAGAAATAGTCAGAGGTGCTTATAAAGATTTTGGTATGAGGAACATTTGCTGTAGCTTTATTTTCAGAAATAAAAAATGGAATGATTACCATTTAAAATCATGTTCTTAACATTTAAGAATATGAAAATGTGATCCATATAACTGGGGGAAAAGAAGGTTGCAATATAGCAGCATAGTATTTTTGCCAAGTAAATAACAAATATGCATACATTTTAAATGCCATAAGATACAAAATAGTATTAATAGTTAACATTTCTGGATTAAAATTTGACATATTTTATGTCTTTAAACTTCTTTGTATTTACCAATTTTCTCAATAAAGTCATTAATGACATATTCAGAAAAACATTTTTAATTTATCAGTACTATAAGACATTAAAAGGAACTTACTGATAAGGCATAGCAATGATCGAAAAGCAAACCATTAATTTAGCCCTATTTTAATGTGGTTCTAAGACTACTTTGCAGGATTTTTTATATCTATGTTCAGCAAAATGACAGATGTTGTGTAATACCTCATATAAATAGAACTTATGGCAGAAATAGGTTTTGAGAGGTTTTTTTTTATTTTTCCTGAAATTGCCTTTTATTTTCCAGTATAGTTTGAGAATTAAAAAAGGGAAAGTATCATTTCTAAAACTGTTTTGGTCTTCCCAAAATAAGAATGAAGTAGCAGTTGTGCTAACAGTCATAATAGCAACTTTTGTAGTATGATAGTTTATTTGTTCCTATGTGCTGCTATCTATGGGTAATAATTTATTATACTTAGGTTTTTATGAACCCAATAAGAAACTATACAGAGCAACCCCAGTTTCTAATTCTCAGCCACAGGAAAATAATATTTACATTTTTTACCTTAATATTTTTTATTACACAACTCTTAAGATGAATTATTACCTACAAAATGCTGCAAAATTTGATTTATCAAATTATATCATTCATATTTATTAAAATATTTTTCCTTGACCTTTATCATATAGTATTTTTAAAACAATATAGAAAATATCAAATATTGGCATAGATATAGAGCAACGCTATTGGAAGTATAGTGTAATGCATCCACTTTGAAAACCACATGGCAGTTATCTATTAAAGTTCATTTATATATATATTCTATGACATAGCAATTCCACTCTCAGATATAGACCCAACAGAAGTATATATATATATATATATATATATTCACAATAATACATAAAAAACATTGATTTTATGCAAGTGAAAATTTCCATAATATAAAATTTATTGTACCATATAGTGTCCCACTACCTGATTTACCTATGTAAATACTAGGTCATATTTAAAGAAATACAAGGTATTTTGAAAAGTACATTATTAGAAAGAAATTTAAAATATCAAATCATTTCCTTAATGCAACTAAGACCAAGTGCTCCAATATACTAGTAAGGATACATAAAGAGAACTATGGAAGTTCTATAGAAAGTGATGACTGGGTTGCTTTGGTACCTTGACTGGGGGCACTACTCATTCCCCATCACTGAAAGCAGCTCTGAAATTTCCTGCCATGTTCTCTTTGTTACCAGAAAGGTAGTACCTGTTTCTCTCCTTACATATCAGGTAAACAAACTGCATAACAGAAAGCTATGAGTGGAGTTATTATATAGGAAAAAGGAAGTACAGCAGTATCAAAAGAAGGAAAAAAAAAACCCGATTAATGCAAAACAGAATACAAAGGCACTCATAGTCGATTCTGAGAGAACAAGTTGGCTAGACTTCTAGACTTCCTGTTAGGTTGCAACAACAATGCTATCTCCTAAACAGTGTCACAGTTCTCCATGAGACCCTTCTGTTCACCTATCAAGTGTGTCCTACTATGCAATAGAAATTTATTTATCATCAGAGAAAACCCTGAGACAATGTTGAACTGTACCTACATTCTGCACTCCAAAAAGCAGAGACATTCAAGAAATTACTCCCCCTCCCAAACACACACACCCTTTATGTTCTAGGAAGCAGCATACTGCAAAGAACCAATCTTTCTCATATGACTTAGATAAAACTTATGAATGACACCTATTAACCTATGACAAAGTCAGGACATAGACCTTGCAAATTTCCATTCTTTGTCTCATAAGTTAATAGCTTAACTGTTTGACCCTACTGATAATTCTGTTTGTTCAGTGCCTGTTTACTGGACTTGAGAAAACTTTAAGCTTTCCTCCTTCTTTTGGCATCCTGAACTTTACCATTCTTGAGCAAAGGAAGTAGAACAACCCTTCTTTTTTTTTTTTTTTTTTTTTTTTGAGGGTTATTATTTTTTTTTTAAATATTAAATTTTATTTTTATATTCCCCCATACAATTGCAAACGCCCCATTCTGACCCCAATCCTTCCCCTCCCGCCCCCCACCCAAAAAGTGTCTCTGGTTCATAGTTTTTTGTTGATTTTGATTTTCACTTTCTTATATTCATTTTCCTGGTCCCTTATTTAAGTTTTCTAGATTCCTGCTATGAGTGAGACCATCCAGTATTTTTCTTTTTCTTTTTGGCTTATTTCGCTGAGCATGATCCCTTCCAGTGCCATCTATGTTGCTGCAAATTGCATGTGTTTATCTTTTTTGAATGCTGAGTAATAAAGGAATAATTTCTTTATATTTTTCTTTTGTCTGAATTAGTTCAATCACCTCTCCACCACTCAGAAGAAGGAAAGAGCTTGATAAACTTGTTGGTATTAGCTGATTATTAACTCGAGCATGAAACCAATAATAATGCAACTACTCAAGCTCTTTCCAAAGAACTTTCACAACTCTCTATCACATCTCCATTAATCAAACAGCCTCGTCTCAATTTAGCATGTAGTTAGCACATTAATTGCAGCAAATACATAAAATAGATCCTCAATGTTTTTAACAAAGGAAAATATATAAAAATATCTTTATAGCAGGAAATATTATTCTAAAATATCTTGAGTCCTGTTTGGAAAAAAAATATTAAACAATAAGTACTTTGTGTAACATATACATGACCAAAAAATCAAGTACTCACCCGCATTGACTATAGCATCTACTTCTAGCAGTGTGATGTCACCTCTATAGAGAGAAACTTTTTCACTCAAACTTTTCTTCACCTGTGCTGTTTCCTGAGAATTTTCTTCTGTAATAAAATGGAATATACTTTAATTGCAATATTCTTAATTCATTGAAATGGGTCACCTCTGATACATTAGGCAACTTTAAATAAGTGTGTTAAGTACCAGGATATAGCTTAGTCTAGTGCAAATCCCTCAATACAAATGCAGTGTCACATATATAATGGCATTCAAAAGTGTAAGTATTATTGGGCAATGAGAAATTCAACATATATTATTATTATTATTATAAAAATATTAAATTTACAATAAAAGTATGCTTCATTAGTTCCACAAGGACATAATAAAAAGATATACAACTACTAAAGTAAAATAAATTTTCACAATGAAACTTATTCATTTTGTTTATTTCACTTTGTTCCTTGAAAATAATATTTACTCAGGCAAAAATACTTAGGTACACTTCTAAGTAACAAACTGACAGGCTAGAAAGGATCAAAAATATTTATTTGAATATGTGAAAATGCTCCTTTCTTATCAAATTGTATAAACCTTTCATTCTAGAGGGCGCTGGTAGACTTAAAAGAGAAATAGCTCTAACCTGCAAAAAACAAAACAGTAAACTAGTATTTTTTTAAAAAGCAAAAACATTGTTCTAAAACCTAAAATATTTATAATTATGTGTGCATATATATGTATTCATATATACAACCTGATCTATACATTTAGAACAATACTATAAATTTGAATTTCAATTATTTTTAACGACAGCAATGTTGACATATTATAAAATGTTATATGAAATCAACATTTTAAAATATATTAAGTTGCTATGCAAAAAATAGGCTTTTTAATATATCTACAGAAAAGCTGATTTATGATATTTTTTAAACTTAAATCATTTATGATCTATGTGGACTTTTGGGGAGGAATAATGCTATTTATTCACTAAGACACTCTTAAATGAGTTTGCACTTCAGGTGTTTCTGGAGGATTAGAAGCTACAGGTTATAAATCACTTACATTGTCTTTGGATCCCAATAGCCAAAGAACAAATTAGCCAATACTAAGGAAAGATCTGTGGAAAAGCATAATTTGAGGAAAGCATCTAACGCATCCTCTTCTTTGCAAGGACTTCTCTACCTGAGGATTCTACTAAATATATTCATTGGTGGCAGCGTGGTGGTGCCGCTGCTGGTGGTGATAAAGCTGGTAGTGATAGGTAGTAGTGCAGTAATAGTAGCAGCAGCAGAAGAAGAAAAAGAAGGAAAGAAGGAAAAATGTGAGGAAATCGAAGAGTAGAGAAAGACTTTCAAAGACCTCAAAATTTTAAATATTCATGATAGAGTTTATCATTTCAGGGACTTCTAGAGTACTGTTTTCCCCTGTCAGATAAAGCTAAGAGCACAGATTTTACTACCAGATCAATTCTGTTCAAATACTGTCTCTGACAATTAACAAATAGGTAACCTTGAATAAATTATTTATTCTTTTAATGCCTGTGTGTAAATCACTGACTCCTTCACAGTTAAAATGAGTTATAATGCTTAGAATAATGTTTGCCACAAAGTAAGCTCTCAACAAAACCCACCTTTTTTTAAAAAAAGGTAACATTGTTTCATTATGCATACTCAGAATACATGGACCATAATAGTTAGAAATATTTTCAAAATATGCAATTATTACAAATAAAGTATCAATATATTTAATATGATTATTAATCCTTATCAGTGAAAAACATCAAATTTTGTTTGTGTTTCACCAAGCTGTCAATGCCTGGCCCCATGAAAAAGACCTCCAGTCAGAAAACTTTGCATTCCACAGGCACATCAGTTTCTATTCTCACTGCTTTCACCAAATTAGAATATCATGATTCCCAAATAAAGAGTATTGGATGACAATAAACATTTGGTGGCTTTGTTTCACAAATCCATGAGACAGTAAATTGATAACTATTTCACAAATGAAAGCAAAATGGTTGATAATTTCAGGTCAGAAGACTGAGTAAATAGATTCCTAAGCCTTCCTCTAGTTTCAATAAGCTCTAAAAAGTATGTCTTCATTTTCTCACGAAGTATTACGCATGTGATACTGCATATGCATGTAATATTGCACTTAAAAGATACTGACTTATAAACATATGTAGCAATAAGAAATCCTATATTATCAAAAAATTAGCAAGGATATAAAACAATGGTATACTGAATTTTCAAAAAAATAAATGAATAAAAAACAAAAATCCTCAGCTGCTCTAAGTGCTGAAAAGGTGATGACAAAGTTCCACACAAATACTGAACGACAAAGGCATATATTTTAACAACCAACTGTAAATATAACAAAGTTACTGTTAGCGGTCACTTCTTTGGTATGAATAACAATATACTTCCTTTCTTTTCACACAACTGTGTTCTATCAGCCCTGATCTCTGTGTATCTTTTCCCAAATCCTGAGTTTTCAGTAATAACTGGGACAGAAAGTCGACATTGATCCCTTAAGGACACTCTACATGTGTATACAGCACTGGTTCATATTTTATGCATAACTGACTTTATCCAACTTCAAGTTGAAATATCTACCAGTGTGCACAAATTATATCATTTTTCAAGGTCATACAATATGAATATTGTCAAGGAAAAAAAAGTGTTAGGCAGGAGTTAAACTAGTAAAACAGTTTTTATGCAGGAACTACTGGAATAAGGGACAAGAAACCTCAGCATGAAACTGGGGTCAAGTTCCAATACAGCAAGGACAGTTTGGATTTATAGTCAAGAGGAGAGTGGGTATTGGTGGATATAAAATGACTGTGGAAACACTGTGGGTAACGGAAGATTTTTGGTTAAATATACTATTCTTGCATAAGTTAGGTCAGAGTGATCAGATAGCACATGGTTTGCAGAATTCGATCAGATATCAAGGACAGGGCAGTCTCTTTAAAACTGACTTAATAGGATTCTAATTAAAACTTCACTATGCAGGTACAGAAAGCACAGAGCCTAATTAAGAAAATAATTTAGAAGAACATGACTAAAATTTAGTTAAGGAGTTTTTGTCAGTCCCTTCTCTTATTCAAGGAAAGTAGAATCATTCTTCTTTCCTTTGAACATGAGTCCATTTCTCATTAGGTTGTTTTTGTTCGTTAAAGGCCAGCTGAACCATCAATTGAGACTTGGAAGTACAGAATATTTGTTAAGTGATTCAAGCCGTCTGGATTTAATGAGGGAAACTTCTATGAAAAGAAAAAGAAAAAAAGATTAATGGTTAGAGCTCACTGTAAACCCAGTTTCTGAGTCCAAAAAGAAGATAGTTGAGAAGTTTTAAAATAGTGAGCTCAAAGCATCTTTATTAATTTGCATGACCTTGATGATGTCATCAGGTGTTCCAGTGAACTTGCTGAATGGTCCACACAGGAAGGCACAAAGGTTGCCCATACATGATCTGTTGTGGTGACTTCTTTGAAGATTATATCAGGAAATCCAGTTTCAGCTTGCAGGGCATTAGGGAAAGGGCTAGCTTTTGTTTTCAGTGATGTTAAATTAGAAGGAGGAAAGAAAATTGGAAAACATTATTTTGGAGAATTATAGCTATATATTGGAGGAAACCAGAAGAAATGACAAAACGTGTAAGACAGTGAACAGGACTAGAATTTAATAAGCCACAATGGTACACTACAGTTTTCAAGTGAAACATAAAATTTCTCTCTACAGTTAGCCCCACCCTTTTTTTTTCTTGTTTACAAAATAATGTTGGTGTCATTAGATTTGTCAGGATTATTTACTAGTATTATAAGAGTAGTAATCAATCTCAGTAGTAAGTCTTTTGAGGTTGATTTGCTGGAATTTGTCATAAAGAATCTGAAGATTTAGGGCCTCCCCAGTGGCGCAGCGGTTGAGCATTGGGTTGTGAAGCTGCCCGCAGCCTCTGCAGTGCCAGTTCGATCCCTGATCCCTGGTCGCTGGGCGAGGGTCCCACATGGCACACAGACCTCTGCTGCCACCCGCTGCTCCCCTCAGCAGTGTACTTCATCTCTCTGCCTGTTCTGCTCTGTCTCTGGTGAATTCTCTCACCCTTCCGCACTTCTGACTGTACCCAGTGCTTGTATAAGTAAATAAATAAATCTTTAAAAAAAAAAAAAAAAAAGAATCTGAAGATTTTAAAAGCCTCTTAAGGCCAAGAAGCTCTACCAAGAACTCACCATCCAATATAATCTGTTTTATCTATAGGTTAAGGTGAGCTGCAATTCTAAAGATTTCCAAAATATTAATACCCTAAAGTTCATAGGCTTGCCAGTAAATGACTTTTCTTATTTATCTGTAAGCTTGGAACCCTGTAAACAGATTATCAGACTAATTTTTCCAAGATGGCTTTGTAATTATGGGCCCCATAAAATCATCTTTAGTTCTGTAAAACTGTCTGATTTTATGTGATATTATACATAATTCCCATATATGATGTCCCACTCAAAATCCTGGATATAATCATTTTTCCAACTATGCTGTTACAAGGAATACAGATGCTTAATGAACATATGTAAATAATTTTATAGCTTAAAAATAAGTATGCTCAATACAATTTCTGAATTCCAGAAGGATGATGAGGGGAGAAATGAAAAAAATGTTTAATTTCTTCTTATAAAGTATAGCCTGCTAAATTGTCATGAGTTATAGAGGGAAATTATAAAGGAAGATGCAGGTCAAAACCACACTGAGATGCCACCTCACACCTATAAGAAAGAATGTAAGCTGGTGCCAACATTTTAGAGAGCAAACTGGACTTAATTTAAATGAAGATAAAGTATGATACAGCAATTCCACTTTAAGCAATCTAGCTGAAGAAAATAAACTATCGGGCTTCCCCTGGTGGCGCAGCGGTTGAGCACTGGGCTGCGAAGCTGCCTGCAACCTTTGCAGCGCCCATTCGATGCCCCGCCGCCGGCAAGGGTCCCACATGGTGCGCAGACCTCTCCAGCTGCGCCCACTGCTCCCCTCAGCAGTGTATTTCATCAGTCTGCCTGTTCTGCTCCCCACTCTGGCTCTGGTGAATTCTCTCACCCTCCCGCACTTCTGAC